TTTTCATGTCTTTAGTTGTCCTATCGTGGTTTTCTGTATGTCCTGAATTGATCCAAAATGTTTACCTTTTGTGGTCATTTTGATTTTGGGAACAGCTGGGAGCAGCATGGTGCTAGATCCAGTGAATAAGCTGGATGAGGATACACTGTGCTTCTGCCTTTTAGTTGGATGACACTTGGCAGCAAGCATTCGCTGTTTTTGATGGTACCTCATAAAGACACTCATGAAAGACTTCCAGAACTGCTTTAGAAAGTGGCAAGAATGGTGAGATACATGTATTGGAAGTGAGCTGGGCGTCGTGGTGCACGCCTGTAATCCCAGCACTCAGGAAGCTGAGGCAGGAGAATTGCTGCAAGGTCGAGACCAGCCTGGGCTGCGAAGTGAGCTCAAGGCCAGCCTAAACTACATAGCGAGAACCTGTTTCAAAAAGACAAAAAAAAAAAAAAAAAGGAATTGAGTGGGAATATTTTTAGGGGGATTAGTGGCAGTTTGTCTTTTCCTAAAATAAATTTTTAAAAATGTAAACATTCACTGTATGTTTTGATCACACTTGTAGGCTCTTTAGAAGGAACAATTGCTGCCTTTCCTTCCTAGAATGCTCTAAGCGTATCTGTTTGCTTCTAGGAAATTGTTAGAGCTGGATCCTCTCCTCTCCCTTTGGAGCTTCGTATACCTTCTCAAAATTTTACTTTCTTAGGAAGTCTTTATTAGGCTATATGAAAGCAAACTGATTAAGGAAATCTATCCAAAGATTCCCTTCCCAACTTTCAAGGATATTTGATTACATAAATGAACTAGTGAAAGTTTTGGCTGGTAGAAGTAGAATCTTTATTTGTGAGGATGGAGATGAGGAAGGCATTTCTTAAGTCACAGCTTAGTTCATATTAATCCAAGAGGTTGGGGGTATGGCAAGAACTTCCCACAAGCAAACTGTTGGTGAGCAACTTTAATTAGTGTGTATATACTGGGGCTGAGATTATGTAGGGATCTGACACATTTGGGACGGATATCAGCTTCTAGGAATGAGAGCATGATCTTTAAAGTGGTTATGAACTTTAAAGAAAGTGTAATTGGAGTAAGATTTATTCAGGCATGGACTTGCAGGGTTTAAGTATTGAATATTCTCTTAAAATGATTTTATTTATTTATTTTTGGTACCAGGAATCAAACTCACAACCTCATGCTTGCCAGGCAAGTGCTTGTGCCACTGAGCTATATCCCCGGCCTTAAAATGATTTTAAAATATAGGTTAATTACGGGCTTTCTTATTCAAGAAGCAGTCTGATACATTTTCGTTAGGATTAAGTGACAACAAATTTCAGGATTTTCTTTGGTGGTGTTATGCCAGCATTTTTAGTCTTCTGTCCCTTTGAAAATGTTGGGAGGAGCTGGGAATAATGTTGAGTAGTAGAGCATTTGCCCCAGCATTCCTGGAACTCTGGGCTCATTCCCCAGCAGTGCGCACACACAAATGTTGGGAGGTTTATGTGCTTTCTAAGTATGTCAGGTTTTCTGTGTTTTATGTAGACTCCTTCCATTTAACAGAGTCAATGTAACTAAAATATGTATGATTGAACTACATGTTGGAAAGCTTAAGAAGATAGAAAAGTAAAAAGACTGGGTCTAGTTATAGTGATAAAAGGAAAAACTAACAAGGGAAAAATACTACTATTGAGGTCAAATGGTAGATATGTTTTTGGGGAGAAGACTTACAGGGACTCTTATGGGCTGGTATAAATGTGTGTTTGTATCTTGTGGGTGGTGGTTTGTATATGTACAAGTATATGTATGCATGTGTAAAAATTCATTAAACTGAAACTTAAAATTTGTTCACTTTACTATAGAAGTTATATAGTTTATCTTTGGCCTTTTTTTGTGGGGAGGGGTACCAGGAATGGAACTCAGGACCTCGTGCTTGTCAGGCAGGTGCTTGTGCCACAGAGCTGTATCCCCCAGCCCTTACCTTACTATAAAGTGTACTTCAGAAACTAAATTAGTAACAATTTTATCAGAAATAGCTCTTGAGAGTTGCTGAATATTATTGATAATTATTCTACAATTATCACTGTTTTTATGAAAATTTGAAGTATTTCATGATAAAAATGAAAAAAGTCCTGCCACTCTAAACATGTCAATTTTGGGGGGAGGGAGCGGCTACTAGGAGTTGAACTCAGGACCTTACGCTTGCCAGGCAGGCTCTTGTGCCACTGAGTTATATCCCTGGCCCTAAACATATCAAATTATGCCTAGGTTAGGAGAGCTAAGTTTACCTGTGAGTTTCCAGATTTGGAATTTTGTGCTTTACTTGGATATTACCAAGGGGAATAGAGAATGAAATCTTACTTTTGTGATTCCAGTTGTTGAAAGGGGACAAACCCAATCTTGATCTTAAAACTAACTATATGTAAATTCTGTTCAATTTTGAATCTGAGTGAGGAGCAATCAGATTACTTAGCTCTACTAAATATGTGATTGCTTTAATACAGCATTAATTTTAAAAGTTTTGTTTTCATAAGTACTTAACATTTATTTGATACTTGTGGTTGAATTCACCAAGCTTCTGAGGTCAAAGAATTTGTTCAAGCACTCACTGCTGAAGTAGGGAGTGTTCCCCATTCTTAGTCTCCATAGGATGCCAAAGCTTCCAAAGTCAGAATAAAAATACAAAGATAATATCATTTTTTGTAACTGACTCTTTATTGTCACCAGTGGACAATCATTACTTTAAGGGCTATTCATGTACTGTTCTGTCTTTGATAGTTAGAGCTTACATTAAATTTAATTACATTTAAAATCTCAGAATCAAAACATTTTCTTAATAACTTGGCAGTATGGCTTTGTTTTTTAAAACAAGTACATATATTTATTTCCCTGTGGTATGAAAAAGGACTATTTGTAGATCATCTTTTTTGAAAAAGGCAAAGAATTTTCTCTCCAAACCACATCAGAACCCATGCCAACTTGGTCCAGGGCCCTACCAGAGTAATGATGTAAGAATTCTAAAGTGTATGTAGTGCAGCTGCCAAAGCTCACAATATTTAATTGCAACACTCTTTGCCAGAGTCCAGAGCTCAGAATTTTTTTCTGTACGTACAAATTATAGTCATATATATTTATCTCGTTTTGTAGAGGAAATAAAGAGTTATTGTTCGGTAGGTTTGCTGCTTTCCAAGGTAATGTGCTATTTTGTCTTCCACGTTACTTCTGAGCGTTACTCTCCCGCTAATTCCCATGTGCTTATTTTTTTGGGTAAGTTCTCCAAACTTTGTAACACAGGTTTACAAAATTGCCTGTTTTGCATGGGTGTCTGTCTATTCAAGCAATTCCATATGCTACATTCTATATATTTGACAAGTTTTGGACATTTATCCAAAGGTACAGTATTTGAGTGTGCAGGTACATATACACATACTGACAAGAAGAATATACTTTTCCCTGGCCTCTCTTGGGAGAAAGCTTGAAACCAGAGAAGCACATCCAGATGTTCTAGGATGAATCTGGCACCTCTATTCAGAATTCTAGATAACAAGACTATTTGGAAGTATACCATGCTTACTCAGCACCTGCTTTTGCTTTAATATTTTTATGGTCAAAGATTTTGGATTTTGCCTCTACTGAACAGAAAGAGCTACACCCCGGAAGCTCCATGAGACTGGCTTCCTTTCATTTGAGAAAAGTAATAGCGGGCCTGCAGAATAGGGTATCCTTACTGTTGGGAGCAAGACTGAGACGAGAGCAGGTGCCATAGTAGCTACAGCTCCTTAGCCATACCTGGTCTTGTTTAAGTTGTAAATAGAATTGTTTGGCATCAACATAAGCGATTCGTTATGGGCTTTCTGGCACCTAGCAGTGCCTTGCACAGGCATAAGTGCTCACTGACTATATTCAACATTTACTGGATATGTTTTGTATATACCAGGCAATGTGGTAGATGCTGGTGATAAGATTTTTTTTCCCAAGAAGTCATACTTTGATAGGAAGCATAGTCTCTTAAACAGATAAATTACAATTCACTGATGTTACTTATTGCTCTTATAATTTAATACTTTGTTCTCTTTGGAAGTCAGCTAGAGAAGTCTGTAGGCCATCACGTTGACTCTTCGAACTTCTAAGGCTATACAGGGAATTTCCTTTTAGTTCTAAAGTACACTTTTAGATGCCTTTCCTGACTTTCCCAGGAATGACAATTAGTGGAGTGTTGGAAGAAAAAACTAGTGTGATACAAAAAAGTATTTCTAAAAAGCTTCCAGGATTAATTATTCTGTGATTAGCAGTATTTCCTTTATTTGAAAAAAATATAAAGGCTGAGAGTGTTGCTCAGCTTGCCCAGCACATGTGAGGTCCTGGGTTTGATCCCTAGCACTGCAAAGAAAAAAATGTGATATTGCATAAGTTTCTTTAGCTATGTTGGCTATCAGGCTTTTGTAAAGTGAGAGTAGGAAAATGACTCCTCCTCGCTCAGGAATGTGGGCCTCCCTTATCTGAATTGTTACATACTTTAATCAGAGGTAGAAAGCGCATTTTCACCATAATTGTTATGGAGGGATGAACTCACATTTATTTAGGGATGAACTCACATTTACTTAGTGATGCTGTTGTTTCTTCGTTGTAACTCTTATTCCTTTACTCTTTTTATTTCTTTTCCCAATTGTGAAGAATGGTTTATGAAAATTTCCACTGGGCCTCTCTTAATCATTAGAAGAATGTTAAATTGCTTCTCAAAACTTTGATAAGAAGCAATCTCAAACTTTGGGAGGCTGAGGCAGGAGGATTGCTGAGTTCAAGGCCAGCGTAGGCTACATAGTGAGTTTAAGGCCAGCCTGAACTACACAGTAATACTGTATCTCCAAACAAACCACAATCTCAAACAAAACGTGTGCAACTTCTATTAAAATAACAATAGCAATATTTATACAGTACTTACATTGCCTGGCTTCATATGTAAAACATTTAAAAGAGGGCTTGCCTAGTCCTCACTACCCAATGAGATAGGTACTTACTATTTTTCCCACTTTGCAGATGAAAACTGGAAGGCCAAGTGAGGTAAGTAACTGGTCCAAGATGACACAAACAATAAGTGGCAGAAGGGACTGGGGATTTAGCTCAGCGGCACAAGCGCCTGCCTGGCAAGTGCAAGGTCGTGAGTTCGATTCCTGGTACTGGGAAAAAAAAACAAAAAATGAAGTGGCAGAGTTAGGAATGCAGTTCAAGAATTTCAGCTCCATACTGTTCTTAATCACTACTCATTTCACAGTCAGCTTGCCACTGTATGGTGCAGGGTTCTTAAAAATAAGAGGTAACAATATTTGTTGTTTGTGTACCTCCAGTGTAGCTTAGCATTCTACATGTCCTTTAACTTTTTTCAATCTTTTGGGTATATAAAGTGGTGTCCATTTTACAGGTGGTAATATCAACTAACATTTATCAGGTGTTGTACTAAGTGCTCTTGTGTTACTTCACATTGACAATCATGTGAATAATTACTAGTCTTGTTTTGCAAATAAGAAAACTCAAGCTAGAGAAGGTCACTTGCTCAGCATCACATAGCTAAGGTGGCACAGAGCTAAGATTTGAATACAGGATTGTCTGACCCAACCACATAACACTTGGTAGAAACAGTAACTAGCTGGACATTACAGCAACTGAGTGAATCTCAGGGCTCTGAGTCTTGTTCCTTATCCTTAAGTCTCACATATTTGCTGATTAATCATTACTCGTGCTTGGCTCACTTCTTCAGGTGCTCACAATAGAGAGACCTGAGACACATAAGGTGCCTTCTTGTCTGAAAACAGAACATTCTTGTCTAAGTGGTGTCTTCATGGAATCATGTCATTTAACTTTTTCTTGAACTCCACTTGCCAGGATTTATAACTCTGTAGATTTCTTTCTCTTATCTTTACGAGGATTCCTGGAAGTTATAGAGGGCAATCCTAAGCATCTATAATGCTCTAGTTGTGAAGTAGTACACTTTAGTTTATAGTGCCTGGTTAGGATTATAATTTTGGTTCTTTTTTAACCACCTAATACCTGGCTTATATCGAAGGTCTTGTCCATTTTGTTTCTTATGTGGAAACCTGCTTATGTCCCGCTAAATTTCAGTAGTTGCAGTTAGCTCTTGAATCTCATATCACTCATCCTAGGGGGACAAATCTAATTGCTTCAGAAATGCATGTTTTATATGTCCTTTTTTTTTTGCCCTCTCCCCAATGTCCTTCCTTTTTCTATCATTTTAGATTTTCTCTTCTCTCTTCAACCAGTTACTAAGATTTATTGTCTGTGTCCCAAATATCTATCAAAATCTGGCTAAAGTACTAAGCCTCACTAGATATCAGAAAAATAAAAAATTTCAAAAAAATTATATATTACTATGTACCAATCAGAGTGGCTAAAATTAAAATAGCAAGAAAGCAAAAAAACTGGCTTTACAAAGTGTTGGTGAGAACTGTTGGAACATTCAGACTGCTGACAGGAGTGAAGTGTAAATTGGTACAAACCCTTTTGAAAGCTTCAGGAACATCTATGGGAGATGAACATAATTCCATTTCTATACTTGTACTTAACAAAAATGCATGAAGTATGCTCTGAAATAAATATATAAGAATGTTCATAGAGCATTATTTGTAAGAGTCCCAAAGTGGAAACAATCAAATACATATCTGTTAGCATGGACAAAGGTAGGCTTAGTGGCACACACCTGTAATCCCAACACTCAGGAGGCTGAGGCAATAGGATTGCCACAAGTTCAGGGTTAGGCTGAGTTACATAGTGAGTTCAAGGCCAGCTTGAACTACATAGTGAGACCTTGTCTTAGAAAAACAAAAACAAACAAAACCAACAAAAAGAATGGACAAATTGTAGTGAAATCCATAAGATGGAATATCTTAAGGCAGTTTTGATAAGGACAAATTCACACAGTATGCAGCACAATGTGGATAAATCTCCTGTACCTGTGATGGCACATTTACCATAGCAAGCATGCAGCCCCCTGTCTGTGATAAAGTCACAGGTTGTACGAGTTGTTTCTTCAAAACTAAAACCTCAGGCTGGGGATATAGCTCACTGCCACAGCGCCTGCCTGGTGGGTGCAAGGTCATGAGTTTGATTCCCATTACCAAAAAAAAAAAACCCAAACAAAAAGCCAAACCTCAATATGCAGGTTTAATGGGAGTGTTGGCACTTTGTGATACATAAGTAGGTTTTGGGTTGCAGTTTGGGCACTCAGTCTCTAAAAGGTTTGCCATCACTTTATTCAAAATACTGAGTAAAAGAATCTAGACACAAAAGATTGTGTGATACATGGTTTCCTTCACATAAAGTTAAAAAAAGCAAAACTAAGGTGGTAGAGATCAAAATGGTGGTTACTTTTATTGAGGGAATAAAAAGATGAGGAAGGTAGGAGGTACTGTATGCTGTCTTTATTTGTATGTTGGTTCCCCAGGTATGCTCACTTTGTAAGAAAAAGTTCAGTGAGCTGCACATTTAAAAAACATGTGCTTTAATGTATTTTGACACTTGAATAAAAGAACTTTTTTTAAAAGTAGGCAGTAGCTTGATTTAGCAGTTTAAGGGCAAGCATAGGATTCAAGGACTTGTTAAAATTTAGTAGTACCTCAGTTCACAAACAATTCTTTCCACAATTTTGGTTGCAAAATTCATTTCATGGTTCATACCACTGTACTGTTAGTTGCTTTGGGATAGTCACTGAAGAGAGGCCTTTAAGAATGACTTTCTGCCTGTGTATTTACTTAAGTTCTGGAAGGAGTTGCAGTAGACTAATAATATTTTAGGTAAAGAGTATGATTGCAAGAAGGTTTTCAGTGTTCCCTTTTTTTAAACATTTACATTTAAAATTTTTTTGAGGTGCTGCATATTGATCCCAGGGCTTCATACATGCTAGGCAAGTATTCTTAGCTACATGCCCATTTTTTACTCTATGTAATACTTACTACATTTTGCATTATTTTCCAATTGATATTTTAAGTGTGCTCTTTATTTAAAAGATCAAATGACTTTGATTGAAAAAAATGTTAAGTAAAATGACAAGATATTTGGGCTTTGTGAAACTTTATGATTCCCTACAAATCAGACCCCATGTAGCAATATTTATTTTAAAATTTGGGAGAATAACAAGGCACTTCTTTTCAGAGATTACTTAGAGGAATTGTTACCTAGCTACGTACGTACGTACGTACGTACGTACATACATGCACTCCTCTTTGTACCTTTTTTAAGTTGTTCCATTGTTAATTTCCTATCATCTTATTTTGAAATTCTATATCATTTTTATTGTTTTCTTTGTTGTTTTTATTTTGTTTTTGTTTTTTCTCTTTAAAATTAAAAAAAGCAAAGAAAAAAAGGCGTAAAATTTGCTATCTTAACCTTTTAAAAATGTACTTAGTATTTTAAGTACACTCACACACTTCTGCAGCAGATCCCCAGAACTTTTTCATCTTACACAACTGAAATTCTTTATCCATTAAGCAATAGTTCCCATTTCTTCCTCTTCCCAGGTTCTGGTATATTTTTGAATTTCATTGCTTTAGGTATGTTATATAAATGGAACCATACAGTATTTATCTTTTTGTGATTCTTTTAGCATAATCCCCACAGAGTTCATCTATGTTACAATGTGTCACAGCTCTTTGCATCTTTACTGGCATCACTTTTATTAAAGCCATCATTTCATCTGAATGACAGCAATAGCTCAAGTGGTCTCTCTGTTTTCAGTCCTGTCTACTTCTAATCCATTTCCCACTCAGTGTCTAAATGCAACTTTGACTTTGCTTAACAACTTGATACCCAGACCACCCTTAGATAGAATCTAAATGCACATTGTTAGGCCCCAAGTATTCATCCTCTTACGCCACACTATTTTATCATTGCTCTTTAGACACACTCTTTGATTCTTCCACTCTGAATTTCTTTCCTGTTTCATGTTCCCAGCCAGTATTAATTGACAGTGAATCATGAATGAACCATGACTTTTGCTTGAAGCTAACTGTGTTTGTCAGCTTCCTCTGCATGGAGCTAACCTAGATACTTAATGGCAGAATGTAAAAATTTAGTTATAAAATATGTACTTTACATCTTCTAGCTTTTTAGACCATAACAATTTAAAACAGTCTGGACTAAAAACAAATGAGAATTTTAAGAAATATGTTGGCTAAATGTAACTGAAGGGAGAGCTAGGGGCAAAAGGAGGAACTTATTTTAAAATCTATATTCCACTGGGTCTTTTAATAGAGAAGACATTATCACTTTCACTCACTATAATTTTAATTCAGTAGGTATTTATCAGGGCCTACTATTTATATTCATTTGTATGAGTCATAAAGTAAAAGCCTACCAGAGTAGTTTATACATCCTGAGCAGCTATACATACTTTAATAACTGTCCAGATACAACTTTTTTGGTTTCTCAAGCAGTTTTCTCACTGCTATAGATGCCTCGTGACTGTTGGAAGGTCACACATATCTGTGCAAGCTTGTTACGTTGAGAGGGAACTAGCACATTCAACTCTCAGGTGGAACTGAAGCTACCATTTTTACATAAGTTTAGCAAGTTACGCATTAGGGTTGGAATGACTTCCACTGCGTGACTCTGACTGTGGCAACACCGGTGTACCTTGTCAGCCTTCTGTGTTCCCTCTGAGCTTCAGCCACACTGCACATGTGTTTTCTTCAATATCTGATTTGGCCAGTCACATCCATGCTTTTTTGTGTCTACAAAGCTCCTTTACTTTCTACAATTTCAATTTATCTTTTATTTATTTATTATTTTTGTCTTTTTGAGGCAGGGTCTCACTATGCAGTTCAGGTCGGCCTTGAGCTCACTTTGTAGCCCAAGCTGGCCTCGAACTCACAACAGTCCTCCTGCCTTAGCCTCCTGAGTTCTGGGATTACAGGCGTGCACCACCACACCCGGCTTCAATTCATCTTTAAAGAGTTCTTTTCAGGCATCCTTCCTCCAAGTCATCTTCCAAGTAGATGACTAAGTAAGTGATAGAGATTAAGCTTTGTGCTTTCAGAACATCCTGGACTTTCCTTCAACACAGCCCCATCTTCTGTTTATCGGCTTGTCTTTTCTACTGGACTGCGAGCTGCTTTTGGGCAGGCTTAAGGCACTTTTGTGCTTGGCTTCCTACAGAGTAACTGTTGAG